CCTGTATCACAGGAAGAAATATGTAAGGAGATATGGGAGTGGCTTGGCATTATGTAAATGAGCCTGGATGGATTCTCTCCTCACTGTTTTCCTGGCAGACCATAGCTTGCAACTTCACCCAAACTGGCAAACTATGGTTTGGAAGAAGGAGAGAATTGCTATGAAAGGTGAGGAGGGAGAGTGTAAGTCCAAGGATTAGGCACAGAGCACCAACTCCTATGCATTTAACGTTATATTTTGGTTTAAAAGTAACAGCTTCTAAAATGCCAACGCAGAAAATGTCTGGATCATTATTTGAAAGGGGAAGGGGATGATTATGATGTTTCGTAAGAAAGAAAATACATAAATGTTCCCATTTTATTTTTTTAAGTCTACCTTAGATGTTACAAAGTTCAGAAAACACCTGTTTGCTACATGCAAAAAATTTTGATGGTCCACATTTTTTAAAAAAGAACCCACTAACCTCTGCACTTAGACCCGTTTATTGTTTCTAAAGAAACAGTGCCCTTAAACCCATGATTGAGAATGAGTATTTATTCGACCTGATGTCTCAGTATGACACAATAAATCTAAGGTGGTGATGATAATGATTAAAAATAATAAAAGTCTCCAAAGTGTAGAACAGAAAAATATACAACAGAGTACCATAAAATGCAAGAAAACCAATATAAATCACAACACAAGAGGCCTAGAAAAATACCTTCACAAGATGGAGGATTAAGAAGTGCTCTCAGCAATCCCACATACTACAAACCTAAACACAGAATGAGAAATACTAAAAATAAAAAAGCTTATTTCACCGCCACCCCATTCTATCTTTTCAGGGGTTCAGAAGCAAACAAATAATCCATGTAAAGTGTCAAAATTGTCTCTAAACCAAGAAAGATAGAAGTAGCAATACCCATAATACCCATTCCTTCCACAAAGAGTCCAGGACTGCACCCCATGCTTTCTAGGCAGGTGCAATCCATCAAAAGCTTGGCATAAAAAGGAAGTGGCCCCCGGCATACCAACAACATATGAACGCATTTTGAGAAATATATGTAACACAGAGGCACATCAGCTTGAATTAGTACTGTACAAATGTTGCAAAGAATTTGACCTGGAAGGTCAAACCCATTGTCAGCCATGCTTGTCCTTGGGCACAAGCAGCTGGCAAATAGTAAAAAGATATATTGTATTTAAAAGGGGTGAGGTCTGAAGTTAGAAGCATCCATTTCTTCTGTGAAAAAACCAGTGTATAGCAGCCTACAGTACTGTAGAAATATAAATGGCAAGAAATCTACATCTCTATGAATTACATCCTAGCTTCCTACTGTGTGGATTCAAGTTCCATATGCAATGATGAGCTACATTCTAGAGCAGTCTTGTTGACACGTTACTACATTAATGGCTTAAACAAAACACCTATTCACCTTGAGACAATTCTTACTAGCCACAAATGGCCAGCCAGGCAAGTTGCCACTTGCAAGTCTGAATTGCAGAACAGCAACAAGACTGAAAATATTTTACTCACTTTTAACCCAAATAAGCATCTGAGGACCCATTTCTTAATCTTTTGCCATATATTTGCATGGTGGTAATGCTGCTATTCTGACTCACCTTGGATCAGACTGTGACCCGCTAGTGGGTCCCAACCCACCAGCTGAAGACCAATGTTTTAAAGTATTGCATTTAGTAAGAAGAAAGGAATCATACATAATATAGACAGAATTAATGCCAGAAAGTATGTGGCACATTTGCAGGTAACATTCAGAGTTTAGCCAAGAATGAAATGAACAGTTTTGCTTAATTTTCTCAATTGAAACTTTAGCCACTGCCCCCCAAATAAACCACATATAAAATACACTCAGTCATGATAAGCAGAAAATACCTTCCTCTTGGCTATAGAAATAACCTCATGAAGACCCAAGGCTTCAAAAATGACCTCATGAAGATGTAAGGCTTAAGTTATGGTATTTATCAACATACTGAAGTAATGAATATATTACTCACATGACAAAACAATTTTAATTTCACTCAGTTCCTTGTACCACACCCCTCAGTAAGATGCCAGAGTACTTATATGTATTGGTATCCACCAAAGAATATTTTCAACCATCTTGCCAAACAGCAATGAGTAAGATAGTCAAACAAGGCATCATAAAGGAACGAAAACTCATAAGTCCTGACACTTAGATCCCAAAAGATAACTGGATGCACTGAAATGATTCTTTTGCTGCTGGGCACAGCAATTACTAAAGAGAATCAACACAAGGCCTTTTTAATATAGGTCACAGTCAGAAATTAGCAGCCTGGGCAGCCTGAAAAAAAAAGCCTTTTCCACACTACACACCCCTTTCTCTTGTCACTCTGAAAGAAGCAGGTTTCCAGCAAAAATGAGCAGGCCAATTAAAAGGAAGACATGAAATAAATGTTGCCTTCATTTCCACATTTTTTTAAAGCTTTCATCCAGGGTCTTCACTAGGATGTGATCAGGCCAAATCAATGACAAGTGGCCCCACTGACTGCCATCCCCACCACAAGTCACTGGGGGGAAGTGTGTCAGGCTGGTCCTGTTACTGGTTAAGAAAAGAGGAAGCAACCCTTCCAAAGGAGGTGCCATTATGCCTCCTGATGCTCCACCTCTAAGGGTACAACAGTTTCCAAGGCTGTGTATGTGGAAAGAGAAAGACTTCTGCAGCACCACAGGCATCCAAAAAGGGGAGGGTATTTCTGGCTACCCCAGAAGGATACTGGAACAGGCCTCCAATGGTATACGGACACAACTGGCAAACGCAGGCTACAAGCTGCTTCTCTTTTGTGGGGTGGGCGCAGCTTTGCACTCCCCTATCCTGTCCAGGCCACCATCTCAACCAGGAAATGCTGGTGTACTTGTGGACCAAGTCTTGGGACAAAAAAAAGTGGGCTGACGGAAGACAGTCACATACCACCCAGAAGAACATAGCTAAAAATAGGCAGGTGGTCCTGCTGTCTTCTGCTTGGCTCCCAGGGCACAAAGAAAGGCCCCTGAGCTGTAACTAAAGGGGCAACACTTTGCAAATCCTGGCACAGCCTTCCAGGAGCTAAGAATCCTCCCTCCCCCCCCCCAAGCAGACCCGTTCTATGAGTTACACTGCAGAAGGAGACATGTCCCTCTTAAACTCCCTCTGAGCCAGGCCTGTGATTTGTCTTCTACACTCTAAAAGCTGGGAAGGGGTCCCAAACTCAGAAAGGTCACAAAACTGATAACTATCCACTACATATCTAACGCTGAAAATAAACAAACCCTGCAATAACAAATCTCACTTTTAATCACAAGCACTTTTTAATCACAAAAAATTACATATTACATTCCTGGAGAAAGAACATCACAATTTATCCACTAGCAGCCCTTCCTCTTCACCCCCACTCCTTGAAGCACAAGCAATTCCATTCTGCCTTCCTGTCACCTGTTCCAACCATGAAGAGAATACATCTCTAAGCAATCAACCCACAATATTGTTCCTTTGACCTCTATAAGGAATACGGCAATCTGGGGTGCTGCCCTCCCCTATTGTAGCACTGCACCCCACCCCCAGGAACACCAATCAACGATGGTGGGCTTTCTGTGATATCTCCCCCTGCTATTCAACTCTGTTGTTTTTGTAACATTTTCTCTAATAGGAAGATGGGATATTGTTGTTATATTGGCCTTTATTGGCATAAGTGGAAGACGGGATATCATATTTAAAATAAACAACAAAGGAAACCTTGATGTGCAGCCCCAATACATCACTGCCCACACCCACCCATACCCCAAAAAGTATCATGTGAATGGCTAAATGATGTCCTGCTCGCCTCCTGTTCCCCAGTAAAGATGCCCTCCTCTTCCGCCCCATATCACATTCAGATCCTTTTCCTTAGTAGGCACAACACTTTCCAAAGCCCTGACTGCCCACCCGCAATAAAAAGACACCACAACCCTGTGTTATATTGTGGGAGTGGGAAAGAATTCCCCTCCATAGAAAACTATCCCTTCCCATTATATTCGGATTTTCCCCATTGGGAAAAGGCAACTCCTCACCCCCCATTGACACTCCCCCCCCCACTAAAAACCAAAAACAAATGAAAGATGCACCCTATGTTAGTTATTTTATAGAGGGAGAGAGAGGTCCAAGCCCCAACAGAGGTATTACACCTGTCCTGATCCCCTCCCCCCTCTTGAGGACAGTTATCTCCTATTCCTGACTCTCTCCCATTTAAAAGCATCCACGCCTCCTTGTTATTCTATAAGGGAGATGACAAATCTCTTCCCCTTGTATATATCCTGATTCTTCCCCAGTAGAGAAAGACACCTAAGCCACTAGTGCCCCCCATGTGCCATCGAGTTGTATCTATATATTTATATCAATTTCTACACACACACACATATGGGATTCAATATTACACATTACATGTCTCTAGATATTTGCCTGTTGTATGTAATATATATATATACATACACACACACATGCACAATATCCATACATAAACACATTGTCTCCAGTGCCCCCCCAAAATGTATCTCTGAAAAAGACTGTGTGTGTATGTGTAGAGAGAAAGGGAATACACTATACATACATACATACATACATACACACACACACACACACACACACACACATATATATATATACACACACACACACACACTATACATACATATACAGTACACACAAACACACAGGCTTTCATAGAGATACAAACCTATACACAGGCACACATTCGGAAGCTATACTCCCATGTAAATTTGAAAGGTGGAAGGGAAGAAGATCGCCCCCCCACCGGAGACGTCGACCCCTCCCCCCAGGTGTGTGTCCCCTCCTCCCCCAAACGCCGCTGCATTTGGGGAGGAGGGGAGAGTTGTCTCCTTTTAACCCTTTCCACACCCCTCCCACACCCCCTCCACGACCCGAGGAGGCCCCGCCCCAAGCAGGATTCTGATTCTGCCGCCGCCGCCCTCGTCCTCCGGCCCTCCTCCGCGGAGCGGAGCCGCTCACCCTTCAGGTCCTCCTCGTCCTCCGTGGCCGATGTCGCTGCCGCTGCCGCCAAGGCCCCTCGCCCGGCCTGCGCCCGCCCAGTCCGCTCCGGTGCGGGGAGGGCCGAAGGGAGGCGGGGAGGGCGGGCCGGGCCGGAGGCCGCCGGCGCCTCCCTCACGGGCGACGGGGAGGAGGATGGTGACGACGAAGGCGACACCCCTCGCACCCCACCCCCGAGGGCAACCGCCACCAGCACCGGCTTCCCCCCTTCGGACTCCCCAGTCTCAGTCGCCTCAGCCGCCGCCGCCGCCGCCTCTTTCTCCTCCTCCTCCTCCGCCGCCGCCGCCCGCCCTTCCTCGTCCGCCTCAGCCACTGCCTCAGCAGCCCACCGGGCTCCCTCTCGCGAGACTTGGGCCCGGGCTCGAGCTCGGCGGCGAGAACCAGAACGGGACCATTCTCGTCATCGGCGCTCGCGGACTGACTGGGAGGCGCGGTGATTGGCAGGAGGGAAGGAAGGAGGAGCCAAAGGCGGAGGCGGGGACGGCGAATGGGCGGGCCGGACAGAGAGATGGAATGCGCGTGCGCACGCGGGGAAAAAGCGAGAGGGTGGGACTAATAGAAAAAAAGACGTCAACTGCTTTTTCTCTTCCTCTCACGGCTTGGTGAAGGAGGGCGGGAGGGGAAGGGAAGGGTGCGAGCGCGCGTGCGCACAAGGAGACAATAAAGAGAAGGCGTACCAGAGGGGGAATCGCGTTAGAAGAAGGGGGGGAAGGAGCGTACCAAACTGTGGGAAACGGAGGGGGGAGGAAAGAGAGAAAAGGAAAGTGGACCGTACCAAGGGGAATGGAGGGAAAGGAAAGGGAGGGTTTCAATAGCAAAATAGAGTGTCAAAAGTGCGTTCTTGGAGGGGGAAGTGGAGCGTACTAAGTGGGAGCAGGACAATTAGGAGAAGGGTTTACGGGGGGGGGAGGAGGTTGGAAAGGGAACGTGGGGTGTACCAAGGAGATCGAATCATGGGGGGGGAGTTGGGTGTGTACCAAAGGGGAATAATAATAATAATAATAATAATAATAATAATAATAATAATAATAATAATTTATTTATACCCCGCCCTCCCCAGCCAAGATCAGGCTTAGGCCGGCTAACAACCAATAATAAAAACAAGTTGATTAAAATACAATTTAAAAAAGATTAAAATACAACATTAAAACATTAGGATGTAGCCTCTTCACAGGAGGAGAAAGGAAAAAGAAAGAGGGGGGAGGGAATCAGACTGATTCCAAGCCAAAGGCCAGGCGGAACAACTCTGTCTTACAGGCCCTGCGGAAAGAAATCAGATCCTGCAGGGCCCTGGTCTCATGAGGCAGAGCGTTCCACCAGGCCGGGGCCAGAGCTGAAAAGGCCCTGGCTCTGGTTGAGGCTAATCTAACTTCCTTAGGGCCCAGGACCTCCAGGGTGTTGCTAGTTATGGACCTTAAGGTCCTCCGAAATAGTGGAAAGTGTCCCAAATAGGGGGAGGGAGTGTACCATGGGGGGAATCGCGGGGGAAGTGAAAAGGAAAACGGAGTGTACCAAGGAGATCAATTCATGGGGGTGTTTGTAGAAAAACAAAAACCACATGGGGTTTCTCTTTGCTGGTGAGGGGCCACCCAAGGGACAGAATCATTGTGAGGAGGGAGCCCCCCAAAAGAAAGCACTGTGGGTGTTACACTCTGGGAGGAATGAGCAGAGGCCTTGGGATTTGTGGACTCCTCATGGGGGTGACCTGACAACAGCCCTGCGGGGTACGTTAGGCTGATAAGTAGCAACTGACCTCAGGTCACCCTGTCAGCTTGGTGGCTGGCTGCAACCATTCCAAGCCTGGCAGAAAGAGCCTGGGCCCAATCCACCGGCTGGCTAGCAAAAGAACAGCTGCTCCAAAGCTCCCAAGTCAGACCATGGGTCCACCTAGCCTGGTACAGCCTGCTCTGGCTGGCAGCAGCAGCTCCCCAGAGTGCCTGACAGTTTGCCTTTCCAGCCCTGGCTGGAGATGCTGTCAGCAATTGAAGCAGGTGCTCTAACCACTGAGCAGAGACCCACCCTATCCCCTTTCCCTTCTGTGTCCTGTCTATGAGACTGTGGGCCTTCAGGCCGGTCCTCTTATATTTCAATCCATGTACAGCATTTCAGAAAATGTAGTGCTTTATAAACATCAGGGACGCAGGTGGCGCTGTGGGTAAAAGCCTCAGCGCCTAGGACTTGCCGATCGAAAGGTCGGCGGTTCGAATCCCCGCGGCGGGGTGCGCTCCCGTCACTCGGTCCCAGCGCCTGCCAACCTAGCAGTTCGAAAGCACCCCCGGGTGCAAGTAGATAAATAGGGACTGCTTACTAGCGGGAAGGTAAACGGCGTTTCCGTGTGCTGCGCTGGCTCGCCACGTGACCCGGAAGTGTCTGCGGACAGCACTGGCTCCCGACCTCTAGAGTGAGATGAGCGCACAACCTTAGAGTCTGTCAAGACTGGCCCGGACGGGCAGGGATACCTTTACCTTTATTATAAACATTGCATTATATCACCAGTTGTTGCTAATGTTATTATTCATAACAATACGTTTATTTAGCATTTATTTCTTTTGAAAATCTAGGGCGACAAGAGCTTTACCTCAAATGGTATAAAATATTCATTTGAAATAGCAGTAATATAGAAAGCTGCATTATACAGAGAATTGCCAACAGTGACTGGCAAGAATGCTCCTGGGTTTCAGGGAAGGAGTCTCTCCCAGGTCTTCCTGGAGATACTGTCGGGAACGGAACCTGGGACCTCCTGCTCTGCCATTGAGCTACAGCCCCTTCCCAAACAGAAGATGAAAGCAGCAGTCGTTTCTATTATACAGTAATGCATCTCTCTGCCAACTTCCTCATAGCGGCTAAAAACGAAGAAGTTCTTCCACAGGATCAGCTCTGCGTAGGCACCAGGCGCTTGCAGGAGGCAGTTCTGCAATCTGTAAAGGACCAGGGACTGCATCAGGAGCTGGCTGGCTCCCCAGGCTGTGTTGATGTGACTCGGTGGCTTATCAGGGAAGGCACACGTGTTCACATCAAGCCACGTTGCCGGGTGTTTTGTGGAGACAAGCACACACAGGTCCCTCCTTGTGGCTCCAGTGGAGACTTGGGCCTCGCTCTGAAAATGCACAGAGGCACTGCGGACGTCAGAGGGAGGCTTGTGCACCCAGAGATTTCCTTGCAAATCAGGCAGGGTTTGGTTGTCTCAGCTAGGGCATGGTAATAAATAGCCCCGTGAGCTTAACCGTGATTATTGGCTGGTAAATCCCATTTATTTATGGGAGATTGACTTTCAGGCAACGGGTGGCCAAATATGTCCATTTCAGCTTTTTCCATTATTCCATGCGTAAGCTCAGTTATTCGCATTTCCACATCCGTTGGGAAATTTAAGAAAACGTGGAAATGTGGCCCTCCAGAACTCTCTGTATGGCCCTCAGGACTCTCCTTAGGCCACTCCCTTTTCTGAGCCACACACCCCTCCCCAGCCTAGCTTCATACCCCTCACATGAGTGTTGGAAATAGGTCTGATTCTGCCTCTTTGCCTGTCCGAATAGAGGACAGGGAAGGGGAGCCAGGTTAGAATGTCCAGCTAGGACCTGGAAGTGACCAGGGTTCAAATCAGCCCTGAAACTCAATGGGTGCGACCTTGGGGGTCAGTTACTGCTTCTCAGCCTAGCTTACCTCACAGGGTTGTTGTGAGGATTAAATGAGGGTGGGAGGAGCAGAACCAGGGATGATGATGATGATAATTTATTTGTACCCCGCCCATCTGGCTGGGCTTCCCCAGCCACTCTGGGCGGCTTCCAACAAAGATTAAAAATACATTAAAATGTCACACATTAAAAACTTCCCTGAACAGGACTGCCTTCAGAAGGGACACCACCTTTAGCTCCTTGGAAGAAATGGAGGGTTACAAAATGCGCGCTCTCTCTCTCTCTCTCTCTCTATATATATATATATACACACACACACGCGCGCACACACACACACACACACACACACAGAGTTGTACCTCAGGTTAACTACTTAATTCGTTCCGGAGGTCCGTACTTAACCTGAAACTGTTCTTAACCTGAAGCACCACTTTAGCTAATGGGGCCTCATGCTGCCCCCGCGCCGCTGGAGCATGACTTCTGTTCTCATCCTGAAGCAAAGTTCTTAACCTGAAGCACTATTTCTGGGTTAGCGGAGTCTGAAACCTGAAGCATCTGTAACCTGAAGCGTATGTACCCCAAGGTACCAATGTATATAGGTGTGGCAGAGTGTGCAGAAACTAGTCTGTACAAAGTCAACATTTGCATTTCTCCGCCCACTTTGCCTCTAGACCCTCCCCACTGGATGCTGCCGGTCAGTGCAGATGCTGCTGAGCCAGCTGGACCCAATGGTCTGGCTCTTGAGGCAGCACTCCAAGATCTTGGCAGAGCCCAGACTCCATTCCCCCTTTTCTCTTTTTCTGTCTAACTCAGACTGCGCGCTCTCTCTCTCTCTCTCTCCTTCATTTGCCTCCTAGCAAGCTACCTGGGTGACGTCATCCCCATCCTGGCGTGGTGGGAGGGAAGGAGGAGAGAGAAAAAGGCAGGCTCTCTTGCAAAAAAGCAGCTATGGCATTTCCAGACAAAGGCCTGGCCATTTACCTGTGATTTCTGCAACAAAGGATGCTCTCTCTCCCACCTGGCCAAGGGCATTACATCAGCTCTAAGAGAAGGGGAGCTGTGGAGCTGCAGGGCTGGGCTGAGAAACCAGCAACCTTTGGCTCCTCTTCCCCATTGAAATCTTTTCCATTCCAACTTTGGAACAGAGAAGGAATGCCTGAGCTTGCTTTTTTCCTCTTCCCTCCCAATCCCTTTTTCCTTTTGTGTTGTGTCTTTTATATCATGGGGGAGGAATACTTGTCCTTCCGGCCTGGAATACTTGTCCAGCGGGAGATGCTTCTCTTTCCCTTAAATGTAAACTTATGGATTAAAAAGAAACATAGGAATCAGCTTTATAACCAGAGGCGGAACATTGGATCTGTCCAGCCCCCACCTTGACCCCAAGTAGCCTTTAACCCTGTCCTGCCCACTGCTGCTTCCCTTGCTCAGAATGGAAGCATTTTACAAGAGATTAGAAACACGCACAGGAATAGATCAACAGACACACACACACACACACACACACACACACACACACACACATATATATATTCTGCTGTTGGATGATTTAGGAAAATTGAAACATGCATTCTTTATTCTTTCGATAGAATATGGTATGCTTCGCAGAAATGAAACCAGAATCCTGAAATATTGCTTGAGGGGGGAAGTTAATGTATACAGTGGTACCTTGGGTTAAGAACTTAATTCGTTCCGGAGGTCCTTTCTTAACCTGAAACTGTTCTTAACCTGAGGTACCACTTTAACTAATGGGGCCTCCTGCTGCCACCATGCTGCCGTTGTGCGATTTATGT